TTAGCTACCTAATATGCACTGCCCTATTTTGGTGGCTCTGTATGGTAGGCAACGTGCGTTTTTGTCTTGTCTTCCAGGTCAATATCCAACGCAGCCAACCTACCCTGTGCAGCCTCCTGGGAACCCAGTGTACCCTCAGACCTTGCATCTTCCTCAGGCTCCACCCTATACTGATGCTCCACCTGCCTACTCGGAGGTGCTTCCAGTTTACTAGACTTGAACTGAATACTCTGGGATCACATTTTCAGTCTTCAGTTAAGCCTGACTCCACATATCTATTAACTCTCCATAAAGAGGAGAGAGTGCTCACATGAATAGTCTGAAACACTGTATACTTCAATTTCTGTTGGGGTTGAGAAGGCATTATCTGATTTTTTTGTTTTTTGGCACAGGCTGAGGTTAAGAAGATGAGTTTGCGTTCCTTGAGCCTAACATTAGCTGTAGCAGGAAGTGACCCAGGAGAATACTGAGTGGCAGCGGAAAGGCAGTTTGTGTAACTCACAGCGTAATCTGCACAAGGAGAATTAAGAATTGACTCATGAAAGAGATCTAAAATTGGAATGTCTTAAAGTAACCCGTTCCCTTCTCTTCTACCTCTTCTAGCTCTATCGTCCGAGCTTTGTGCACCCAGGGGCTGCCACAGTCCCCACCATGTCAGCTGCATTTCCTGGCGCCTCACTGTATCTTCCCATGGCCCAATCTGTGGCTGTTGGACCTTTAGGTTCCACAATCCCTATGGCTTATTATCCAGTTGGTCCCATCTATCCACCTGGTTCAGCAGTGCTGGTGGAAGGAGGGTATGATGCAGGTGCCAGATTTGGAGCTGGGGCTACCGCTGGCAACATTCCTGTGAGTATGACCTTACCAGAAAAACTCAGCTCTTGTGTGTTTTAACTTTCTGAAGAGATTCCATATTCATCCTTTCACCGTCCCTGGATAATAGCTGTGGTATTAGTGTAACCACTGATTTCCAGTAGTCAGGCGGAAAGCAGATGAGGGGGCAGGAGAACTGTGGAAAGTCAGTAGCATCTGGCACATACCCTGTGGTCTGAGTTAACCAGATTCCTTTGTTTTCCTATCTTAGGAGTCCTGCCTGCTGCCTTTTCAGTTCCAGTTTGGTACTGGTCTAGTAATATTCCTTATTTATTCCATAAGCATTTACTTCAGATTTGCCATCAGCATGGCATTCCATCAGGAAACAAGATGATTAAAAATGGAGAAAGCATAGTCCCTCTTAAGTAGCATTTGGAAAGATGCTAGAGGTTGTAGTCCGGTTTCCTGCTTAGTTCGCCCGTGCGTAAGAATTAGAGCCCAAATGGTCCTTGCTGGGGCCATCCACTCAAAACCATATGCCTGAAATGAGGTGAGAACGCCTTTGAATGAGTGGTCGGCTCTTTCCTGTTTGTATCTTTGGGTTCACAGAGAATACAGACCTGCTTTACAGCCCAAGCTGGTGGTAGGACTAGCTTTAAGATGCGATTGGTCAGCACATTGCCATCTTCCTAACGGATCCTGTTTCGCCTGTGTCCCAGTTCCCTTGTCTCAGCTGCCCTATGCCCAGTCAACCTTGTCTTTTCCTTTCAGCCTCCACCCCCTGGATGCCCTCCCAACGCTGCTCAGCTTGCAGTCATGCAGGGAGCCAATGTCCTCGTAACTCAGCGGAAGGGAAACTTCTTCATGGGTGGCTCAGATGGTGGCTACACCATCTGGTGAAGAACCAAGGCCACCTCTGTGCCGGGAAAGACATCACATACCTTCAGCACTTCTCACAATGTAACTGCTTTAGTCATATTAACCTGAAGTTGCAGTTTAGACACATGTTGTTGGGGTGTCTTTCTGGTGCCCAAACTTTCAGGCACTTTTCAAACTTAATAAGGAACCATGTAATGGTAGCAGTACCTCCTTAAAGCATTTTGAGGTAGGGGAGGCATCCATTCATAAAATGAATGTGGGTAAAGCAGCCCTAAGGATCTTCCTTTAATTCCTCTGGAGTAATACTGTACCATACTGGTCTTTGCTCTTAGTTAATAAAACATCAAATTAGGTTTGGAGGGAACTTTGATCTTCCTAAGAATTAAAGTTGCCAAATTATTCTGATTGGTCTTTAATCTCCTTTAAGTCTTTGATTTCTATTACTTGTTATAAATGAAACGCATTAGTTGTCTGCCTTTCCCTCCTTTCCATCCTTTGCCCCATGTCCCACCCTCACCTCTAGTCTCTTCCAGTTCCTTCCCGCCAATCTCCATTGAATCAATGGTGCAGGACAGAAAGCCAGTCAGACTAACTTCCTTCTCTCCTTGCACTTGTCCCCACTTGCCATCTTTTAACTAGTCTTTCACAGGGATCCTCTGAAACCCCCTCTGTGCCCCAAGCACAGGCCCCATTACTTCTGCTTTTGCATCTCCTCAGGCAAAAGTGGAGGGTGCCTCTTGGACCCTCCTCATAGGTTGTTTCTTCATCCATGAACCAAACCCCAATTTGCTTCGGTGCCAGAAAAACAGAGCTCTATTTGAACAAAGGGTGTTAATGCAAACTGTACTGTAAACAGGTTTGTTTAAAATGTGGGGGCAAGGAGGAAGATGCATTTCAAAAGCCGGATGACGTCAGAGCCCAATTAGGGGAAGTTTTCCCATCCAAAAATTGGTTACTGTTCATTGTCAGAATACCTGATGGAGGCCTTCACGGCTCCTGATAATTCCTCAGCTGGGTTAATGGGGTCATGTTATGAATCCCTCACTACAAAATGACTTGAGTCCAGTGAAATCTCATTAGGGTTAAGAATATTTCAGGGATCCTTAATATTTTGATTTTTGTTTTCTGCAATTGGATTTTATTTTATTTTATAATTTCAGTTCATCTAAATTTTGTGTTCTGTCCATGTGATGTTTGACTGTACCATTGACTGTTATGGAAGTTCAGCGTTGTATGTCTCTCTCTACACTGTGGTGCACTTAACTTGTGGATTTTTTATACTAAAAATGTAGAATAAAGACTATTTTGAAGATTTGAATAAAGTGATGAAGTTGCATTACACCTCACTTCAAGGATTCTTTACTCAACTTGTTTTTAGATTTCTTCTCCATATATCTTTCATGTCCCACCCAGAATTCAGATAGGTGCTACTGTCATTCTGGGTTTTTGTTTTGTTTTGTTTTTTAAATGAAGCCTTTGAAATAAATTCAGGAGTACGTGGCCAAGATTTGACCATTTTCATGAGTCCCATTCTAGGTGCTTTACTTTTCTTCATTTTACTTCCTAAGCTCTTTCAGATTCTTAAGAGCCTATTGTGCCAGAGGTATTCAGAACATAAACTTAGAAATAAGGGAACGACTGACTGTCCTAACTTGCTCTAGAATTTGACTTGAGAAAAATGTTTTAGTATGACAGTCTGTGTAAGTTCAAGGTGACCTTCAGTTTCTCCACAAAGTTCTGTGTGGAGAAATACTGAAAACTAGGATTGTCAAAATTGATTCTTCAACTCTTGGGTCTTGGGAGGAATTGAGCTTGGACAATGGAGGCAATAACAATTAAGACCTCAAAGGAGACTTAGCTTAATTCCAAAGTAAACAGTATTTGGGGAGCTATGATTTCTATCAAAACACTGGGTCTTTTAAACAGGTATCATTTGGGGACTAAGATCCAAGAAGCTTCTCTGGGCTTGATTCAAAGGACACTGGTCGGAAGAGTGGTGGGGAGATTGTTTCTGGTTCCCTCTGTGTATACACAGAATAGGTCTGGGAAGGGCGTCTGGGTGGCTCGGTTGGTTGAGCATCTGCCTTCAGCTCAGGTCATGATCCCAGGGTCCTGGGATGGAGTCCTGAGTTGGGTTCCCCGCTCAGTGGGGAACTTGCTTCTGTCTCCCTCTACCCCTGCCCCCTCTCACTCATGCTTTCTCCCGAGCGTGTTATCTCTCAAATAAATAAACCTTAAAAAAAAAGAAAAAAAAAAGAATGGGTCTGGGAAATTCTGGCCCTTGCCAGGATGGAAGGTAAAACCATTTCATCTCCCAGGGTATGTTTCTAATGACACCCCTGGGACAAGCTTCCCACGACCATCTTTGTTTCAAACTCCTGAGATTGTTGTGGGAACTTTTTTTTTTTTAAGATTTTGTTTATTTATTTGACAGAGAGAGACATAGAGCAGAAACACAAGCAGGGGGAGTGGGAGAGGGAGAAGCAGGCCTCCCGCAGGGCAGTGAGCGCGATCCGGGACTCGATCCCAGGATCCCAGGATCATGACCTGAGCCAAAGGCAGACGCTTACGACTGAGCCACACAGGCGCCCAATGGGAACTTCTTCGAGACCTTCCCTAGGGTTCTTTATGTTTGGGAGAGAACATATGCAAACGAGTTAAATAAGCAAAAGAAAATGTCAAAAAAGTTGCAGTATGGATAAGTCAAAATATAAAGGTAGTTACTCCTTGCACACGAGAATCAGATTTCTGTATCAATGAACATTTTTAATTGTGATAAAAATAGCATCAGTATAAGGTTGTTGGGGAATATGGAAAGGAAGGCCTCAGATTAGGAGATATAGCACATTCATCAGGGGGTGGGGTCTCCACAGTCTCCTGCCCCTCCCCGCTTGGCCTTTTACCATGGTATCCAGCACCTGGGAAGAACTTCTACAGACACTATCTCTGTTCCAGCTGTCACTAGCAGACCAGGTAGGGGACAGAGGAGCAGCCAGCGACCCTAACTCTCCTTCCCTTTGACCTTGAAAAAAGTGAAGATGACCGGGCTCATGTGGCCTGGTGTTGCTCCACCTTGTTGGGCAGCCACCGAAACCAGCTAGACTACAAAGGCCTCGCTAAAGACGTCATCAACAGCTTTCTCTGTGTCCCTGGCATCAGTGATGTTGGCATTTGGGCCTGTGTCCTAGAAGGAGCTCAGGTTTGCCCATATCAATCAATGCTTCTCACTGGTTTCAGATAAAACGTTCACCTAATAAAGAGTGTGTTAGCACTGGAGCCTGGAGGAGCTCCTTGGGGCCCGGGAATCGTTAGATGAAATATTCCTCCTTGTCCCTGCCCTTGGCCGAGTCACTTTCCATTTGGAGGATGGCGCTGGGCTCACCTTCTGCAGGTTCGTAGGTGACGTAGCTGCCTTTGTCCTTGTACAGGTAAAAGAAGATCAAGACCACGACTGAGACCAGGGTGAGGAAGACCACGGTGATAACAACTTGGAAAGGAGAGGGAGAATGCAGAGATGGTTCAGGATTGAGGATGTCTCAGCAATTCATGGGGTCCCCTGAATTCAACGATTCCCTCACTTTTTATAAAGATCCTTCTGTTCTAGTTAACCAGCGTCCACTTCCAAAATCCATATTCCCCCTCAAGTCCCACTTCCACGGTGCATGATAATCTGCAGTATCCTGGGGCTTAAGCTAACCACACATGGCTTTTGATTTCTAACAAAACCACCCCCTCTCAACCAGTTCCTGATGGTTCTGATAGAAACAGGAAGGAGGGAAACAGGAAATAGCTTATCCCAACAGGAAGGCATTTTTAAATCCACAGCCTCCTGCAGGGATTTCTCTGATCCCTGCCACCCTCGTCCTCACGTGTCTGACAAACCACACATGTTCCCAGCCCCACCCGCACACTGGAGTGTACTGCCCGTACACACCTACATCTATTTGTGGCCGCTTCCCACATTTACTGGCAGTGTCTCGGGTGTGAAGCCTCTAAGTCTTTTATAGTCTTGTGTGTGTGCATAGAAGATAACCTACGTGCCAAAACGAGCCCATTAATGGATTTGGTCTCCAATTTGTGGTGCTTTCCTGCATAGGGATAATCCTCGATCACTACACTGGGTTGCGAGTCTATGGAGCAAGAGAGCCCTTGAATTCAAAATGGATTTGGCTCAGGGCCTTTGTTACCTGCAATGAGTGCTGTGCTGGCCTCGGCTTCTGGGGACAGGGCTTCAGTGGCCTGAAGAATTGGGGTGGTCACCAGTTCTTCTAGAAAATTTAGAAAAGTGAAAAAGGAAGTGGGGTGAATTCTTTTGTCATACAGTGGTTAAGAGTACGGGCTTTGGAGGGGCACCTGGGTGGCTCAGATGGTTAAGCGTCTGTCTTCGGCTCAGGTCATGGTCCCAGGGTCCTGGGATCGAGCCCCGCATCGGGCTCCCTGCTTGGTGGGGAACCTGCTTCTCCCTCTCCCTCAATTGTTCCCCCTGCTTGTGCTCTCTCACTCTCTCTGTCAAATAAATAAACAATATCTTTAAAAAAAGAGTATGAGCTTTGGGGCCTAACTGATGAGGTTCTGAGCTCTGTCCTTTACTGGCTGTGTTACCTTCAGAAAATTACCTAACCCCTCTGTGCATTAGCGTCTTCATCCGCTTTTTAGGGTTGTTGTGACAGGTAGTAGGTTAACTCAATAAGGATAAGCTATTATTAGGAATGCATACTTTTACACAGATGAGATCAAATGATGAGTGTATATACATGTATATATATTTACATTATATTGGCAGAGGCATTTCTTTAATGTTCTTACAAACTCTTGTTTTTTTTTTTTTAAGATTTTATTTATTTATTTGACAGAGAGAGACACAGCGAGAGCAGGAACACAAGCAGGGGAGTGGGAGAGGGAGAAGCAGGCCTCCAGCCGAGCAGGGAGCCCGATGTGGGACTCGATCCCAGGACCCACATCGGGCTCCTGGCTCAGCGGGGAGCCTGCTTCTCCCTCTGCCTCTCTCCCTGCTCATGCTCTCTTTCTCTCTCTGTATCTCTGTGTCTCAAGCGAATAAATAAAATCTTTAAAAAAAAAAAGTATTTACATGGGCCGTCAGGGAGCCCTTTACTTCTGCCCCTAGTTAGCATTTTAGTGTAGGGATTTGAAAAGGCACCGAGTTAAGGTTACTGCAGGACAGAGGTATCCTGGGGAAAAGGGGCTGGCTGACCCTGACATCGCCCACAGGAGGCATCATTCAATATTCATTCAATAAATAATAGCAGCACTCATTAACCGCCTACCCTTCGTCAGGTATTGGGGGCCAGGCACACTGGGGATATAATGGTAAGCAAATGGCCTGCCTTCATGGAGCTTACCCTCCACCATGCCACGGTTCACAGTTAATGACCGCAATACACGAGACAAAGGAGATCTCGGGCACACAGGAGAGCCCGGGACAGAGGGCCTTGATCTAGTCTTCCAGCAGGGCACAGCCTTCCCAGGAAGTGAGATGTGAGCTGGCCACTGAAGCAGGGGGTAGGAGTTTACAGGGTAAAAGGGACAAGGGCCCGCGCAGCCTGAGCACAGTGCAGGAGCGTGACTCCCCTCCGATGCCTGCCGCCTTCAGGTTTCCATCCAGGGCAAGTGATATGTAGTCACCAGCGGGGGGACTGGGAGCCTGGGAGCAGTGCTGAAAGGGGCCAATGGTGTTGAGGGGTCTTTTCACACAGTCCAAGAAGGGGCCTGCTGAACCTGGTCCTGCAACAGAGAAAGCAGGGGTGGGCTGCCTAGAGCCACCCCCCCTCCCAAGGCCAGGCCACAGGGTTACGTCTCCTGATTCCCTCCTGCGCTCTCCTGCTCTCCCGCTGCCGCTGGGGGCAACATTAACCAACCCTGCAGGGCAACGGTGAGAGCGCAGGAAGCAATCACGTAGTGCGGCTGTTTCTGTGCTTAGTGCTTAAAATGGAAAGCTAGTCTCGGTTCGAACCTTGCCCCAACATACTACTAGGTGACCTTAAGGACGTTACTAAACCTCTTGGAGCTTTAGTTTCTTGAACTGCAAAACAGAGGTGTGGTGGGCAGCTGGTGAGGTGGCTCGGGATGGTCCCCGCTGCCTGGTGTTTATTTACACCCTGTGTAAGCCCCTCTCCCTGTGTGTGGGCTGGACCCAGGGACTTGCTTCTCACAAAGAGAGTACAGCAAAAGTGATGGGCCGTCACTTCTGAGATTACGCTGTGACTTCCATCAAAGAGAAGGCTTGAACTTTACCCTCCTGATCCCTGCCTCAGACTGCTGCCCCTCACCACGCACATTTTCCTCCCCCAAACCTCCCAGGGCTGCACTTCATCTTCCCACCATTGATCTAGAATGCTGTACAGATGCTCTTAGTCTTGCCTTCCTTAAACATTAGAAAACGTAAGCTATACAAAGCACTGAGAAGAATAGTTTATGTACGGGAGCTTAAGTATAAAGATTAAGATTCAATTCAATCAATCAACAGCAATTTACTTTGCCCCTACCATGTGCCGGAGGTACAGTCATAGATGCTGAGAAAGGGGTAGTGATGAAGTCAACCAGGGACTGGACCATGGAGCTCAATCTCAGTGAGGGTTCAGAGGGCAGATACATATGGTTCCCAGAGGACAGAAGATGACTGCTAGTTGGGAAATTCTGCAAATGATCCCAATTAGAGCAGCTGCCATTTACTAAGTCCCTGCTTCGTGCTGGGTGCTTTATAGACATACTCCTTAATCCTTACATCAATCACTTCAAAGTAGGTGTTTTTATTTGCTAATGTGGACCCCGAGGCCCCGGGAGAGTTAAATGGCATGGCTCATGTCACACATGATGGAACAGTGCATGGAGCCAAGACCTGAATCCAGGACTACACGCTCCAAAGCCCAAGCAAAGTATTTATACTAATCCTTCCTACTACGTCCTTTTCTTTTTTCCCAAAGATTACCACGGGGCAGCAAAACAAGCTTTCCAGAAAGCTCGAGGGTTTAAAACACAGGGGTAAAGGCGGGAGAAACACCAGCCGACCACAATCAGCTACACGCTGTTGTGCCACAGAGTGCGTCCTTAATGCGGACTGGCTCAGGGGCGACAGGTGAGCGGGGAGTGACGTCTGTGTAACGGGGAAGCCATGTTGCCTCACAGGCAACCTCCTTAACTTTAACGCTTGAGGTGCTCAGAGGCAAGCTCGCTACAACTGAAGAGCACATTTTGGCAATGTAGAAAGACCTGCAGGAACATACCGTTCGGGGCGCCTGGGTGGCTCAGTGGGTTAAGCGTCTGCCTTCAGCCCAGGTCATGATCCCAGGCTCCTGGGATCGAGTCGCGCGTGGGGCTCCCTGCTCCTTGGGAGCCTGCTTCTCCCCCTCTGGCCCCACCCCCGCTCCCGCTCCCGTTCTCTCTCGCTCTCTCTCTCTCTCAAATAAATACATAAAATAGTAAAAAAAAAAAAAAAAGAAAGAAACATACACTCCAATAGAAGTGCCTTCCTTGGATGCAGTTATTGGTTGGAAGCCATCTGGTGAAGCAGTTAAGTACAAATGAAGGAGGTACAAAGAAATTTACCTCTACACGAAGACAACGGAGTAATGAAGAAGGCGGACCGTACATCAGATTTTTGCTTCTGATGAAAATGGTCTCTGTTGGAAGCAAAGGCTCTCTGCAATCTACTTCTAAAAGGAGGAAGCACACACCTCAGGAACAAAGGCTCATCCATTCTGTAGCACGTGTCAGAATTTCCTTTGTTTTTAAGGCTGAATAATATAACAAAGGAAGTTCTGACATACGCTACAAAATGGATGCCACTTAGATGAGGTACCGAGAATAGCCAGATTCATGGGGACAGGAAGTAGAATAGTGGTTGTCAGGAACTGGGGGGAGAGGGGATGGGTAGCTGTTACTACTTTTTTTTTTTTTTTAAGATTTTACTTTTAAGTAATCTCTCCAGCCAATGTGGGGCTTGAACTTAAAATCCGGAGATCAAGAGCTGCATGTTTTACCGAATGAGCCAGCCAGAGGCCCCGGGATGGGAGTTGTTATTTAATGGGTAGAGAGTTCAGTTTGGGTGTGAATATACTTAATGGTATACTTAAATATTGTAAGTTTTATGTATAATTTTACTGTAATTAAAAAAAACTTTTCTTCATACAGTTTACATTCTGAGAAGATGGACAATAAATAAAATAAGAAAAACATATACTGTATTACATACTGATTAGTGCTGTGTAGAAAAAAAGAGCAGGATGGGCACCTGGGTGGCTCAGTCAGTTAAGCACCTGCCTTTGGCTCAGGTCATGATCCCAGGGTCCTGGGATTGAGCCCCGCATCGGGCTCCTGCTCAGTGGGGAGTCTGCTTCTCCCTCTGACCCTCACCCCCTTGTGCTCTCTCTCAAATAAATAAATAAAATCTTAAAAAAAAAAAAAAAGAGCAGGAAGTGGGGTAGGGGGCTGGCATTGTAGATAGCGGTAGTCAGGGAGTCTCCCTGATGAGGTGACTTGAGTAAAGACCTCTAGAAGGTAAGAAAGGCAGCCCGGCCGAGATCTGGGCAGAGGGAACAGCAAGTACGAGATAGGGCTATCCACAATATTGAAAAGCACTGGGCGGGGGGGGGGGGGGGGGGGGGGGGGGGGGCGCCTGGGTGGCTCAGTCATTGAGCATCTGCCTTTGGCTCAGGTCATGATCCCAGGGTCCTGAGATCGAGCCCCGCATCAGGCTCCCTGCTCCACGGGAAGCCTGCTTCTCCCTCTCCCACTCCCCCTGCTTGTGTTCCCTCTCTCGCTGTGTCTCTCTCTGTCAAATAAATAAAATCTTAAAAAAAAAAAAAAAGAAAAGAAAAGCACTGGGGCTGTTGCATGCTTGGCATGCTTAAGGCACAGCACAGAGGTCAATGAACAGAGCAAGGGAGAAGCAAGAGGAGATGAAATCGAGGGGGCTGTATACTATGGGTGCTGCAGGCCATGGAAGGGATTTGGCTTTTTCAGTGACTGAAATGAGAACCTCATAGACGTTTTGGGGCAGAGACTGGATTTATATTCCAAAGCAGTGCTTCTCAACCTCTGTTGTGCATAGGAATCTCCTAGGGATCTTGTTAAAATGATTCAGGGGGTCTGGGGTAGGGCCTGAAATTCCAAAGACCATGCTTTTGAAACACTGAGCCCACCATGTTGTGAGGAAGCCCAGTGTAGCCCAGTGAAACAGTGGTAGGATTCTAGATACATTCGACACCAAGACTGATGGGGTATGGGGTGGAGTCAAGGATGACACCAAGGT